CCAGTTCATGTGCAATCGTAGCTTGCTTATCCCGCCGCCATGAACCGGTTAAGTCAGGCTGGACCTCGACTGGAAGGTCATGGATTATCTTAGTCTTCAGTTGATCGTACGAACTACTCGTTGTTGGCGTGCTTGATCACCTTGCCCGCTGCATCCTTTGCTGCGTATGTCCGTTCTTATCGTTGGGCTGATTCGTATTGAATATTATGTAGTGACAAGACTTGTAGTGGAACCGAGACGACCATGAGCGGGATCGATGCGTCAGCAAATTTTCTGAGTGCGCAACAAAATGAGTGAGTCCTGATAAAATGTGAGTGAGCGAAGGGTATCGTTGATGAAGATACGGATATAAGGTACGACCTTCAGTACCCGGATTCCGTATCATCACCTCTGTAAAGACAGTCACACTACACCACAAAAAGGCCGCACCGGTTTTCGTTGGTCTCACTTTTGCTCCTCATACGCTCGATGAGTGTGTAATCCACAGTACGTATGCACAATATGAAAGCCTCATTTATTGCTGTACGCGTCAAGTTATCATCGGACCATGGACATGTGTGACTCACGCGTTACAGTTCTCGTTAAGTATAGTATGTGTGTATTAGTGAAGGGTCCTTGAAGTAGCTATGGTGTGAAGCGGGTTTCGAAGTGTCAACAGTGCACTGTTGTTGTAGACGCGAACTGGCTCTATGAATCACCGGGTTGGGTGGCGCCAACTTGTAACGGAACGCTTCTGTCCAAGTAGTGAGATACGAGGGTTGTGACACGCGTGACGGCGTCACTGTCCACAGGGTGTGGAAGGCGCGCCCGTCTCAAACTAGGAGTCGACATTGTGGTGAGCTCGTAAGGGTTCACACCAAGGTCACTAAGGAACAATGCACCGCCCCAGACTGGATAACAGAGCAGGGAAAAACCGTCGCTCCTGGTAGTGGGAGGATCACGTGCCAGAATCCTGATGTGGCGTCACCACTCTACAGGTCGCAACACGAATACCTTGTGAAAACCTTTTACTGATTGGGTGGATACCAGTTTCACCAGTCTACCATCGTTCTCCTCTATGTCTCTGTGTATTGAAGGCGAAGTCACGGTGCTCTACTATAGATTAATACTGCGTCCCGTTTTTTCGTGCTGGAATACTTTGCACAGCACGAATCACGATGTGCGTTATGCAATTAAATTGACCATCGACAACCGAGCTTGGACTTACTGCAACCAATCACACTGGTTCTCTGTCGATTTGAAATCTGAGAAAAGAAAGTAGTACATGTGAGGTGCAGCAGCAATTTGGCGGACCGAATCATGGACCTTGCAAGACGTAGCGAGTGTTGCAAAAGGGTCAATGCAAAACGTGAAGAACATAATACCGGTGGCTTGCAAGGGACAAGCGCATACTCGTGTCGATGTTTCATGCTAACAAATACTAGCACGACCCCCAGTTCATGTGCAATCGTAGCTTGCTTATCCCGCCGCCATGAACCAGTTAAATCAGGCTGGACCTCGACTGGAAGGTCATGGATTATCTTAGTCTTCAGTTGATCGTACGAACTACTCGTTGTTGGCGTGCTTGATCACCTTGCCCGCTGCATCCTTTGCTGCGTATGTCCGTTCTTATCGTTGGGCTGATTCGTATTGAATATTATGGAGTGACAAGACTTGTAGTGGAACCGAGACGACCATGAGCGGGATCGATGCGTCAGCAAATTTTCTGAGTGCGCAACAAAATGAGTGAGTCCTGATAAAATGTGAGTGAGCGAAGGGTATCGTTGATGAAGATACGGATATAAGGTACGACCTTCAGTACCCGGATTCCGTATCATCACCTCTGTAAAGACAGTCACACTACACCACAAAAAGGCCGCACCGTTTTTCGTTGGTCTCACATTTGCTCCTCATACGCTCGATGAGTGTGTAATCCACAGTACGTATGCACATCATGAAAGCCTCATATAATGCTGTACGCGTCAAGTTATCAACGGACCATGGACATGTGTGACTCACGCGTTACAGTTCTCGTTAAGTATAGTATGTGTGTGTGTATTAGTGAAGGGTCCTTGAAGTAGCTATGGTGTGAAGCGGGTTTCGAAGTGTCAACAGTGCATCGTTGCGTCGTTTCATCGCGAACTGACTCCATGAATCACCGGGTTGGGTGGCGCCAACCTGTAACGGAACGCTTCTGTCCGGGAAGTGAGGTACGAGGGTTGTGACACGCGTGACGGCGTCACTATCCACAGGGTGTGGAAGGCGCGCCGGTCTCAAACTAGGAGTCGACATTGTGGTGAGCTCGTAAGGGTTCACACCAAGGTCACTAAGGAACGGTGCACCGCCCCAGACTGGATAACAGAGCAGGGAAAAACCGTCGCTCCTGGTAGTGGGAGGATCACGTGCCAGAATCCTGATGTGGCGTCACCACTCTACAGGTCGCAACACGAATACCTTGCGAAAACCTTTTACTGATTGGGTGGATACCAGTTTCACCAGTCTGCCATCGCTCTCCTCTATGTCTCTATGTCCTCAAGGCGAAGTCACGGTGCTCTACTATAGATTAATACTGCGTCCCGTTTTTTCGTGCTGAAATACTTTGCACAGCACGAATCACGATGTGTTTTATGCAAACAAACTGGCCATCGACAACCGAGCTTGGACTTACTGCAACCAATCACACTGGTTTCTCTCTCGATTTGAAATCTGAGAAAAGAAAGCAGTACATGTGAGGTGCAGCAGCAATTTGGCGGACCGAATCATGGACCTTGCAAGACGTAGCGAGTGTTGCAAAGGGGTCAATGCAAAACGTGAAGATCATAATACCGGTGGCTTGAAAGTGACAAGCGCATTCTCGTGTTGGCGCATCATGCCAACAGATACTAGCACGACCCCCAGTTCATGTGCGATCGTAGCTTGCTTATCCCGCCGCCATGAACCGGTTAAGTCAGGCTGGACCTCGACTGGAAGGTCATGGATTATCTTAGTCTTCAGTTGATCGTACGTACCACTCGTTGATAGCGAGCTTGATCACCTCACCCGCTACATCCTTTGCTGCGTATGTACGTTCTTATCGTTGGGCTGATTCGTATTGAACATTATGTAGTGACAAGACTTGCAGTGGAACCGAGACGACCATGAGCGGGATCGATGCGTCAGCAAATTTTCTGAGTGCGCAACAAAATGAGTGAGTCCTGATAAAATGTGAGTGAGCGAAGGGTATCGTTGATAAAGATACGGATATAAGGTACGACCTTCAGTACCCGGATTCCGTATCATCTCCTCTGTAAAGACAGTCACACTACACGACAAAAAGGCCGCACCGGTTTTCGTTGGTCTCGCATTTGCTCCTCATACGCTCGATGAGTGTGTAATCCACAGTACGTATGCACATCATGGGAGCCTCATTTATTGCTGTACGCGTCAAGTTATCATCAGACCTATGGACATGTGTGACTCACGCGTTACAGTTCTCGTTAAGAGTAGTATGTGTGTGTATTAGTGAAGGGTCCTTGAAGTAGCTATGGTGTGAAGCGGGTTTCGAAGTGTCAACAGTGCACTGTTGTTGTAGACGCGAACTGGCTCCATGAATCACCGGGTTGGGTGGCGCCAACTTGTAACGGAACGCTTCTGTCCGGGTAGTGAGGTACGAGGGTTGTGACACGCGTGACGGCGTCACTGTCCACAGGGTGTGGAAGGCGCGCCCGTCTCAAACTAGGAGTCGACATTGTGGTGAGCTCGTAAGGGTTCACACCAAGGTCACTAAGGAACGGTGCACCGCCCCAGACTGGATAACAGAGCAGGGAAAAACCGTCGCTCCTGGTAGTGGGAGGATCACGTGCCAGAATCCTGATGTGGCGTCACCACTCTACAGGTCGCAACACGAATACCTTGTGAAAACCTTTTACTGATTGGGTGGATACCAGTTTCACCAGTCTACCATCGTTCTCCTCTATGTCTCTATGTCCTCAAGGCGAAGTCACGGTGCTCTACTATAGATTAATACTGCGTCCCGTTTTTTCGTGCTGAAATACTTTGCACAGCACGAATCACGATGTGTTTTATGCAAACAAACTGGCCATCGACAACCGAGCTTGGACTTACTGCAACCAATCACACTGGTTTCTCTCTCGATTTGAAATCTGAGAAAAGAAAGCAGTACATGTGAGGTGCAGCAGCAATTTGGCGGACCGAATCATGGACCTTGCAAGACGTAGCGAGTGTTGCAAAGGGGTCAATGCAAAACGTGAAGATCATAATACCGGTGGCTTGAAAGTGACAAGCGCATTCTCGTGTTGGCGCATCATGCCAACAGATACTAGCACGACCCCCAGTTCATGTGCGATCGTAGCTTGCTTATCCCGCCGCCATGAACCGGTTAAGTCAGGCTGGACCTCGACTGGAAGGTCATGGATTATCTTAGTCTTCAGTTGATCGTACGTACTACTCGTTGATAGCGAGCTTGATCACCTCACCCGCTACATCCTTTGCTGCGTATGTACGTTCTTATCGTTGGGCTGATTCGTATTGAACATTATGTAGTGACAAGACTTGCAGTGGAACCGAGACGACCATGAGCGGGATCGATGCGTCAGCAAATTTTCTGAGTGCGCAACAAAATGAGTGAGTCCTGATAAAATGTGAGTGAGCGAAGGGTATCGTTGATAAAGATACGGATATAAGGTACGACCTTCAGTACCCGGATTCCGTATCATCTCTTCTGTAAAGACAGTCACACTACACGACAGTAAGGCAGCACCGATTTTCGTTGGTCTCGCATTTGCTCCTCCATACGCTCGATGAGTGTGTAATCCACAGTACGTATGCACATCATGGGAGCCTCATTTATTGCTGTACGCGTCAAGTTATCATCAGACCTATGGACATGTGTGACTCACGCGTTACAGTTCTCGTTAAGTATAGTATGTGTGTGTATTAGTGAAGGGTCCTTGAAGTAGCTATGGTGTGAAGCGGGTTTCGAAGTATCAACAGTGCATCGTTGTTGTAGGCGCGAACTGGCTCTATGAATCACCGGGTTGGGTGGCGCCAACTTGTAACGGAACGCTTCTGTCCGGGTAGTGAGGTACGAGGGTTGTGACACGCGTGACGGCGTCACTATCCACAGGGTGTGGAAGGCGCGCCCGTCTCAAACTAGGAGTCGACATTGTGGTGAGCTCGTAAGGGTTCACACCAAGGTCACTAAGGAACGGTGCACCGCCCCAGACTGGATAACAGAGCAGGGAAAAACCGTCGCTCCTGGTAGTGGGAGGATCACGTGCCAGAATCCTGATGTGGCGTCACCACTCTACAGGTCGCAACACGAATACCTTGCGAAAACCTTTTACTGATTGGGTGGATACCAGTTTCACCAGTCTACCATCGCTCTCCTCTATGTCTCTATGTCCTCAAGGCGAAGTCACGGTGCTCTACTATAGATTAATACTGCGTCCCGTTTTTTCGTGCTGAAATACTTTGCACAGCACGAATCACGATGTGTTTTATGCAAACAAACTGGCCATCGACAACCGAGCTTGGACTTACTGCAACCAATCACACTGGTTTCTCTCTCGATTTGAAATCTGAGAAAAGAAAGCAGTACATGTGAGGTGCAGCAGCAATTTGGCGGACCGAATCATGGACCTTGCAAGACGTAGCGAGTGTTGCAAAGGGGTCAATGCAAAACGTGAAGATCATAATACCGGTGGCTTGAAAGTGACAAGCGCATTCTCGTGTTGGCGCATCATGCCAACAGATACTAGCACGACCCCCAGTTCATGTGCGATCGTAGCTTGCTTATCCCGCCGCCATGAACCGGTTAAGTCAGGCTGGACCTCGACTGGAAGGTCATGGATTATCTTAGTCTTCAGTTGATCGTACGTACTACTCGTTGATAGCGAGCTTGATCACCTCACCCGCTACATCCTTTGCTGCGTATGTACGTTCTTATCGTTGGGCTGATTCGTATTGAACATTATGTAGTGACAAGACTTGCAGTGGAACCGAGACGAACATGAGCGGGATCGATGCGTCAGCAAATTTTCTGAGTGCGCAACAAAATGAGTGAGTCCTGATAAAATGTGAGTGAGCGAAGGGTATCGTTGATAAAGATACGGATATAAGGTACGACCTTCAGTACCCGGATTCCGCATCATCTCTTCTGTAAAGACAGTCACACTACACGACAGTAAGGCAGCACCGATTTTCGTTGGTCTTGCATTCGCTCTCCATACGCTCGATGAGTGTGTAATCCACAGTACGTATGCACATCATGGGAGCCTCATTTATTGCTGTACGCGTCAAGTTATCATCAGACCTATAGACATGTGTGACTCACGCGTTACAGTTCTCGTTAAGAGTAGTATGTGTGCGTATTAGTGAATGGTCCTTGAAGTAGCTATGGTGTGAAGCGGGTTTCGAAGTATCAACAGTGCATCGTTGTTGTAGGCGCGAACTGGCTCCATGAATCACCGGGTTGGGTGGCGCCAACTTGTAACGGAACGCTTCTGTCCGGGTAGTGAGGTACGAGGGTTGTGACACGCGTGACGGCGTCACTATCCACAGGGTGTGGAAGGCGCGCCCGTCTCAAACTAGGAGTCGACATTGTGGTGAGCTCGTAAAGGTTCACACCAAGGTCACTAAGGAACGGTGCACCGCCCCAGACTGGATAACAGAGCAGGGAAAAACCGTCGCTCCTGGTAGTGGGAGGATCACGTGCCAGAATCCTGATGTGGCGTCACCACTCTACAGGTCGCAACACGAATACCTTGCGAAAACCTTTTACTGATTGGGTGGATACCAGTTTCACCAGTCTACCATCGTTCTCCTCTATGTCTCTATGTCCTCAAGGCGAAGTCACGGTGCTCTACTATAGATTAATACTGCGTCCCGTTTTTTCGTGCTGAAATACTTTGCACAGCACGAATCACGATGTGTTTTATGCAAACAAACTGGCCATCGACAACCGAGCTTGGACTTACTGCAACCAATCACACTGGTTTCTCTCTCGATTTGAAATCTGAGAAAAGAAAGCAGTACATGTGAGGTGCAGCAGCAATTTGGCGGACCGAATCATGGACCTTGCAAGACGTAGCGAGTGTTGCAAAGGGGTCAATGCAAAACGTGAAGATCATAATACCGGTGGCTTGAAAGTGACAAGCGCATTCTCGTGTTGGCGCATCATGCCAACAGATACTAGCACGACCCCCAGTTCATGTGCGATCGTAGCTTGCTTATCCCGCCGCCATGAACCGGTTAAGTCAGGCTGGACCTCGACTGGAAGGTCATGGATTATCTTAGTCTTCAGTTGATCGTACGTACTACTCGTTGATAGCGAGCTTGATCACCTCACCCGCTACATCCTTTGCTGCGTATGTACGTTCTTATCGTTGGGCTGATTCGTATTGAACATTATGTAGTGACAAGACTTGCAGTGGAACCGAGACGAACATGAGCGGGATCGATGCGTCAGCAAATTTTCTGAGTGCGCAACAAAATGAGTGAGTCCTGATAAAATGTGAGTGATCGAAGGGTATCGTTGATGAAGATACGGATATAAGGTACGACCTTCAGTACCCGGATTCCGTATCATCTTCTCTGTAAAGACAGTCACACTACACGACAGTAAGGCAGCACCGATTTTCGTTGGTCTCGCATTTGCTCCCCATACGCTCGATGAGTGTGTAATCCACAGTACGTATGCACATCATGGGAGCCTCATTTATTGCTGTACGCGTCAAGTTATCATCAGACCTATAGACATGTGTGACTCACGCGTTACAGTTCTCGTTAAGAGTAGTATGTGTGCGTATTAGTGAATGGTCCTTGAAGTAGCTATGGTGTGAAGCGGGTTTCGAAGTATCAACAGTGCATCGTTGTTGTAGGCGCGAACTGGCTCCATGAATCACCGGGTTGGGTGGCGCCAACTTGTAACGGAACGCTTCTGTCCGGGTAGTGAGGTACGAGGGTTGTGACACGCGTGACGGCGTCACTATCCACAGGGTGTGGAAGGCGCGCCCGTCTCAAACTAGGAGTCGACATTGTGGTGAGCTCGTAAGGGTTCACACCAAGGTCACTAAGGAACGGTGCACCGCCCCAGACTGGATAACAGAGCAGGGAAAAACCGTCGCTCCTGGTAGTGGGAGGATCACGTGCCAGAATCCTGATGTGGCGTCACCACTCTACAGGTCGCAACACGAATACCTTGCGAAAACCTTTTACTGATTGGGTGGATACCAGTTTCACCAGTCTACCATCGCTCTCCTCTATGTCTCTATGTCCTCAAGGCGAAGTCACGGTGCTCTACTATAGATTAATACTGCGTCCCGTTTTTTTCGTGCTGAAATACTTTGCACAGCACGAATCACGATGTGTTTTATGCAAACAAACTGGCCATCGACAACCGAGCTTGGACTTACTGCAACCAATCACACTGGTTTCTCTCTCGATTTGAAATCTGAGAAAAGAAAGCAGTACATGTGAGGTGCAGCAGCAATTTGGCGGACCGAATCATGGACCTTGCAAGACGTAGCGAGTGTTGCAAAGGGGTCAATGCAAAACGTGAAGATCATAATACCGGTGGCTTGAAAGTGACAAGCGCATTCTCGTGTTGGCGCATCATGCCAACAGATACTAGCACGACCCCCAGTTCATGTGCGATCGTAGCTTGCTTATCCCGCCGCCATGAACCGGTTAAGTCAGGCTGGACCTCGACTGGAAGGTCATGGATTATCTTAGTCTTCAGTTGATCGTACGTACTACTCGTTGATAGCGAGCTTGATCACCTCACCCGCTACATCCTTTGCTGCGTATGTACGTTCTTATCGTTGGGCTGATTCGTATTGAACATTATGTAGTGACAAGACTTGCAGTGGAACCGAGACGAACATGAGCGGGATCGATGCGTCAGCAAATTTTCTGAGTGCGCAACAAAATGAGTGAGTCCTGATAAAATGTGAGTGATCGAAGGGTATCGTTGATGAAGATACGGATATAAGGTACGACCTTCAGTACCCGGATTCCGTATCATCTTCTCTGTAAAGACAGTCACACTACACGACAGTAAGGCAGCACCGATTTTCGTTGGTCTCGCATTTGCTCCCCATACGCTCGATGAGTGTGTAATCCACAGTACGTATGCACATCATGGGAGCCTCATTTATTGCTGTACGCGTCAAGTTATCATCAGACCTATAGACATGTGTGACTCACGCGTTACAGTTCTCGTTAAGTGTAGTATGTGTGCGTATTAGTGAATGGTCCTTGAAGTAGCTATGGTGTGAAGCGGGTTTCGAAGTATCAACAGTGCATCGTTGTTGTAGGCGCGAACTGGCTCCAAGAATCACCGGGTTGGGTGGCGCCAACTTGTAACGGAACGCTTCTGTCCGGGTAGTGAGGTACGAGGGTTGTGACACGCGTGACGGCGTCACTATCCACAGGGTGTGGAAGGCGCGCCCGTCTCAAACTAGGAGTCGACATTGTGGTGAGCTCGTAAAGGTTCACACCAAGGTCACTAAGGAACAATGCACCGCCCCAGACTGGATAACAGAGCAGGGAAAAACCGTCGCTCCTGGTAGTGGGAGGATCACGTGCCAGAATCCTGATGTGGCGTCACCACTCTACAGGTCGCAACACGAATACCTTGCGAAAACCTTTTACTGATTGGGTGGATACCAGTTTCACCAGTCTACCATCGTTCTCCTCTATGTCTCTATGTCCTCAAGGCGAAGTCACGGTGCTCTACTATAGATTAATACTGCGTCCCGTTTTTTCGTGCTGAAATACTTTGCACAGCACGAATCACGATGTGTTTTATGCAAACAAACTGGCCATCGACAACCGAGCTTGGACTTACTGCAACCAATCACACTGGTTTCTCTCTCGATTTGAAATCTGAGAAAAGAAAGCAGTACATGTGAGGTGCAGCAGCAATTTGGCGGACCGAATCATGGACCTTGCAAGACGTAGCGAGTGTTGCAAAGGGGTCAATGCAAAACGTGAAGATCATAATACCGGTGGCTTGAAAGTGACAAGCGCATTCTCGTGTTGGCGCATCATGCCAACAGATACTAGCACGACCCCCAGTTCATGTGCGATCGTAGCTTGCTTATCCCGCCGCCATGAACCGGTTAAGTCAGGCTGGACCTCGACTGGAAGGTCATGGATTATC